CTACACGTGGGCCTGTGTGCATGGGCAGGGGGTAAGGCCAGGTGCATCCACACATACAGCATGCCTGGGCCTGCCCCGGACTGTCCCTCCCACTGCATAAGAGTGGACCCCAAGCTGGACACGGGGACATGGATAGATAACACACATTAAAGGCCCTCGTCCTGGGCGGGTGCTGGCTGAGTCATGCCCAGGGCTGGGGGTTAGCTCTGCAGCCTGAACTCGTGGGTGCTGGTCTCCCAGCGGGAAGGGTCCCTGTCCAGCATGCTGCGCTCCGTGAAGGTCACCTGCCCGGCCGCGTCCACAAGGATGACCGTGTTGGTCCTGAAAGAGAGCACATGGCCCATGATGAGCCCCCTGCCCACCCGTCAGGGTGCCAAACGGGGTCAGAACTAAGGCAGGAGAGGCAAGCCCAGCACACCTGGGCTCGTGCTGGGCGCTCAGCTTGGCCTGGGGCAGGTCAGCGATGAGCAGCAGCTTCAGCCTTGGGAGGTGGAGGGGCCTCCTGGGGCCTAGGACCCCCCCTGGCTCGCCCCACAGACCCGTGCTTATTGAGCCCTGTTGCCTCCACTTTGCAATGTCCACCTGCCCCGTCCGCCCACCTCTCTTACCAGGGTGGCCCCTGGGCTGACCATGCACCGCCCCACCCAGGACCCTCCAGGGCTCCCAGGCAACAGCCTGGCACCAATGCCCAGGCCTGCCAGACACTGGGCCACACTCAGCTCTTCCAAGAGGTGGTGCGGCTGATCGCTCAGGTCCTGGGCTTCTCCACCGGGAACTCTCTCCTGTCCTCCTCCTCCCCCTGCTCCCCCACTGCCCGTCCCAAAGGCTCAGCCAGCCTTCGCCAGGTGAGTGAGACCCCGGGCAGGGAGCAGGCGCAGCCCCAGCGCACGTGGATGCACACACGCTGAAGACTGGGAGTCCCAGCGGGGGGACCCAGCAGCCACACGTCCGGCCGAGGAGCAGACTCGTCACTGGCCTCACACAGAAGTGACGTGAGCACACCATTTAGTCACCAAAACAAATCTGTAGTAGAGGAGGGTCCTGAGAGAAATGATGCCCCCACACCTGCCCAGAGAAAAGCCACCATTCAGGCACACGACCTCTCGGCCCTGGGGGACGCCAGCTCACACGACGCAGGTCCTGCCTCCGTCCCATCCCAGCCAGAGGGCTGGAAGCTGCCACTTCCTGGAGAGTGTGAGACCAGGGCCTGCTGCCCTCTCCATCAGC